AATAATATGAATATTTAAGAATATTTTTTACGCGTATGGAAAAAAATTATTTCAATTTTAATGTTTTATTATTATAAATAAAAAAGGTGCGGCAAATAAAACTCGTACAAAGTTATAGAATCATGGATTCATGGAATCATGAATATTGAATCATGGAATCATGAATCAAAGTTATTGAATTATGGAATAAAACTTAACTAATTTCTTTTTTAGTATATGTGTTCATTTCTTTTTTGACTACTAGTTCCATTGTAAAATATTTTATAATATATCTCATAGTTTAGGTCTTGTTTTTTGGCGTTTTTACAATTTCAAGCGAAAGATATGCTATTTTAGAGTTGTTTATACAAAAGAAACGTAAGTGTATAATCGTGAGTTTGCTTTGCACACAATCGTTTTATATACAAACACGTGTTACTGTCAACGACCGAAATTTGTGGTTGTTGACTTCAACATAGTCACTTTGCTAAATGACGGAAATATATACTAGGTCTATATAAGTGCCAATATTTGGTTTACATTTGCAGGGTATACCCTACATCTATCTTTTTTTAAGGTTCAGTGCCACTGCCCGGTATGGATGGTGTTTTCTACAGTAGGGAGCGCTGCAAGCTCGGGACTGCCTAAATTTCCGGGTTACTGTTTCAGTTGTATTTTAAAGCCATTTGGCATCATTGTGTTTTGAGATTCCTGCAAACAATGTATTTGATTACTTATGTTTACAATGCTAACAATACTGTTTACAATACTAAAAGTGTTAACACTAACGTAAGATGGTGCACAGCTTGCAACGCGAACAAACAGTAATAAACAAATGGAAAGAGGCCAAATCAAGACTGCCAAAAAAGCGAGTTATTCAAAATCTAGCAACCATGTCACCTTTTTTAATAATANAAAAAATGTAAGGAATTCAAGAGCAGAAAGACCCCAGATAAACGCATTTTAAAGTTATTTTACTCTAAAGAACTAGTAAATGTGGTAACTCGTAATAAAAACAATAGAAATGCAAAAAATAGTTGTCTATATAATAAGTTAAACAAAAAAAAAGAATTATAAACATTATAAAAATTTAAAAGAAAAGAAGATTAAGAAAATGAATTCAATTTAATTTTTTTGAGGAATACTGGTTTAAAAAATTTATCTCTAATTGGTAGGTTTTTCGTAAATGTGGTAAAACATTGGTCAAACCTCAACAAATGTCAACATTAGTTTTATTTTAAGTTAATTCAAACTTAATTCATTATTACCTCAGTCAGTATCTTTAAAATTGACAGTAAAATCAAATATATAACTAGAATAATCTGACAAAATAAATATAACCAAAAGTATTTTTGCTATCATAACGTATATTCAATTTTATTAAGTCAGAAATCTTAATTTTAAATTAAGCTTTCAATACTTTATGAAATATTGCGTGTTAACAAATTATTTCCAATCGTTCATTTCAATTTATAATAACTTAAATTGAAAATTTATGAAATATAGATTTCTATAATTATATTAAGAAAATTAATCACTTAATATTGATTGTCTATAAAACAAGATTTTTTTACTTATTTTCTCGTTCATGGACTTCAATGTAACCCACTCTTAATAATTATTGTATACCATTATAAAAAAACAAGCAATGTCGTTATAAATTAAAATAAAAATATCATGTTCGAGTCACTGAAATAAATAAAACAATTTTATTTATTATACTCAAATGTAAGCCGGAATCGTGAACTAATGAGTGAATTGATATAAATATTTAAAACTTAGCTTAGAAAAGAACTATAATTATTGCTTTGGTTTTATGTTCTATTTTGTTATTATTCTTTTATTCTAAAACTTGAATTTTACATTAAAACTAAGTTAATTACTTTTGTAAAATCGCTTGCATTAAAAAAAAATTGGTTCATGCGGAAGTGTGGTTTGAAAGTGCAATTAAAGACCCTTTTGAAATAAAGCGTACAAATGTCTGCTTGTTTTTTATCTTTATGAATCAGTCAGTAATCTTTAATTGTTTTTCGTTTGCGCATGGTGCAAGAAACATTCTTACCTGAAAATCATTTGAGTTCTTGATTTTTTTTTTCCTTTTAAATTTTCTCTTTAAGTTCGAAATTATCTTTATTAGATTCGTTTTATGAGTTTTGCATTTTTCTCTGTTATTTTCTAACCTTCACTCCCGGCACTAAGAAGAAAAAAAAGTATGATTAAAACTTCCAGAATATAGTAAAATATACCGTGCTTCTGGCTCTATGGGAACACCAAAAAGCTCATAAATTTTTACCAAAGAGCTTTTGTAATAATTTTGGAAAAATTAACAATAAAATACAATTTGATAATATATGATAAAATTTAGTAATTTCATCATGATACCTTAGTGCATGATATAAAAATTCCTTTATTCGGTAAAATTTGCTTTTCCATATTTTTTTCTAAATGTGTGATATAAGAACTATAAACATTAAATACCATATATTAATTACGGTAATTAAATACCGTATAGTAAATATCGTATATTTTAGTTTTATTTATCAGAATTATATATATTTTTTTTAAAAAATGACAATGCCATGTATGGTAATTTTACTAGATTTTTTTTCTCCGTACAAATTGAAGGAATACATGCAACATTAGACTTAAATGACTTTAAAAATATTTTTTAAAAAATGCATATATTACATTACTGCCATTATACATTGTTTTATTTATTTAGAAATTACCGTTATTTTTATTTATTTATTTTTCAATTTGACTCCAGAAATAATTATTAGATATATTATCATAATATGTAGTCTAGACATTAATATGATCTACTTGATGAATGAAGTTTGACGTTCCTAGTTGAAAGCATTTCAAATAAATGCAGTATTTTTTTTTTTTTTAAATCATTCAAAATGATTTAACCGGGTTAAATTGTCGCGTAGACGACACTACCAACAAAATTATTCCATTTATCGTTATCGTAAAGATATCGCTTAAAGGGTGAAAAAAAAAAGCAGGAGCAGAAGTAAAAGTAACAGATGACAAAATGACAGTAATGTAAACAAATCAACAAGACCATAATAAAAGATGATTATGAATGCATCAATTACTATTTTTCCTGAAAGTTATCTATAATAAGATCTGTCAAAAGCAAAGAATAGTGAATACTAGTTAGAACTATTGGAGTGTGTAAAGATTTCTATAACCAACCTTAAAAGAAGTTGGAATGAATCAAAAATGAATAATGCATCTTTCGGTGACTGATATACACAACGTAATGACGTTTATAAACAAACTAAAGTAGAAATATTCATTAAATCAAAACAGTTGCTGCTTTGATTTAATGAATTTTGCTAAATTTAAGTAAAATAAAAAATTTAAAAAAATAAACGTAGTTTTGAAACGCAGCATTGTTAATTTTAAAGACATTATACATGGAGAAAAAATTCTGATAAAATTACTGTACTGTAGGCGCATAAGCAAACCATACCACGGATTGGAAACTTGGCGATTGCAGTTGGAATTGGCGATGATAACGCGTAAATGTGATGGGAGAACGAAATTACACATTAACCTAAACAGCAATTTGACGGTAGTGACATTTCCGGTAAAAAAAAAAAAAAAAAAATCGTAATTCGGGTTATTAAAACTAATATATACGGTATTCAAACAATTCATTGGTATGCAGAAAAATTTCCGTGTAAGCGGAACATGGGATCTTTAAAAGAAATACTTCTGTTTTTGTTTTTTTCTTTCTTTTTAAGTTTAAACTGATTTAAATTTTCTTTCTTCTTTTGTAAATTGTTCGTGATGGCAACTAAGCTTCCACGGTTTTTTTTTTTTAATTCAAATTTAGTCACTAATTGCTTTTTGCATAATATTTTGCATTATTCGGAAAAGGATGCATCGTTCTCTTGCACGAAAAAAAAAATTCTGGTAAAATTACTGTACTGTATAATAATAACATTTCTGTTTATAAAAAAATATATATATAAATCTGCTTAATAAAATCTAAATACATGGTATTTAAACCATTTATTTGGTAATTTTTTTCGTATTTATTTAACAGTTACGATTATAATTATAATAATATTATAATAATAGTTATAATTACAGTTATAATTATATTATAATAATAGTTATAATTACAGTTATAATAATAATTGACACCCGGTGGCTGAGCGGTAGCGCTTCGCGCTGTCGTGCCACAGGTCCCTGGTTCGATCCTCGGGCTGGGCAAGGTTGACTCAGCCTTTCATCCCTTCAGTGGGTCGATAAATGAGTACCAAGCATGCTTGGGAACTAAACACTGGGGGTTTTGATTTCGGCTGACCACCTGACCGGAACATCTGCTCCTGCATCCCAGAGCCCAAGGTCACAGAGCCCAAGGTCAAGAAAACTGAGATGGACACAGTAGTCCTTGGCCCTCTATGAGCTGTCGCGCCACTAAGTTTAGTTTAGTTATAATAATAATTATTACTTATTTCATATTGTTACAGTTTATCATATAATAACCGCACCATTAGTAAAAATACAAAATTGAAAAGTATATTTAACCTGATCAATGGTTTTTATGCCATGCTCTTCATGATAAATTTACCAAGCTTTACCATATTTTATCCATTATAAAACTATATTTTATAGTTAATTTTGCCCAAATCATTGCCAAAGCACTTCAGGGAAAGTACCGAGCTATTTGGTATTCCCATAGAGTTAGAAACACGGTGAATTGTACCTTATTTTGGTAGTTCTGACCATACCTTATTTCCATGCGTATGAAGTAAACCTGTAAACAGTTTTGGAAAGTAGGTAAAGGTTTAAAGTGTGAAAACTTTGTACATTATTAACTGTTGTCGTTAAAAATGGATCAAAATTTTTAGAAAATTTATGAATTCGTCATATGATTTATCTATTATGAATAGTATTGGTTAGTGTGTAAAGGCTTTTGTTTAAAGTTTGCATATTTTATTGAGAAAAAATAAAATTATTTTTAAGTATTTTAAAATTAATTCTTCTTTCTTTATTTTTAGTATTCCACTAAAGAATGAAGTTTCTTATTTCCTGCTTCCTCTTTTTAGGTAAGATAATTTGATAATTATGTTTCGCAGATGCATATGTGTCATAATTATTATTCATTAATTAATGTTTAACTATTATCAGTTAATTATTGCAAGGTAAAGTTCTATGAGCAAGAATTATCAATTCTTACTCAGATAATAAGTTTATTAAGAAAATTTCGCTTATTCAAAAAAAAAAAAGAATTTTAAAAAAAAAATTCTAAATTTCATTCTTACATAATACGTTTACATAAATACGAATTTTCCATTTTAAATTTAAGGAGGATTATTGCAAATGTAGCAAAGAAACACATTAAACATAGTTTAAATAAAGGTTGAATTTCAATAATAATGAAGATAAATTATTAACATAATTTTTTTTTTATTATTTCTTGTATTGTTAAAACTATTTGAAGACTAAATATCATACAAAACAAATTTTAAAAAATAAAATTAAATAAATATGAACTTTTTATTTTAAATTTAAGAAATAATACAACTAATATATATAATTGTAACAAAAATTATATTAAAATAAAATGTTTTAACCAAACATTAACTTTTTATCAAAATTATAATTCATTTACATAATTAATAATTAGGCCAAAAATTTACGATTTATAAAAATACAATTAAAATTTTTTTTTCATTCTCAAAAATTATTTGGAGAAAAAATCTCCCATTAAAAAAAATTTTCAAGTAAATACTGACACAAACAACGTCATAACAAAAGCATATTACAAAATTATGTCTTTATCGAAAATTTACTTTTAATAAAAATAAAAAGTCATTTACGTTATTCTTTATTATATAGTACAATAAATAATTACGTAATACGTCGTACTATTTATAAAAATACAATAAACATACAATATAATAAAATTATATAATAAAAATTAAATAAAAATATTTTTTTAGCTTAAATAATTTTCATTATCATTCCAAGAATTATAATTTTATAAGATTTTTTTTCCTTCATTTATAGGGGTAGCTGCCTTAGCAGAAGAACGAGTAAGTACTTAGAATAATAGAATTTATTTATTTATGCCAAATTAATAGTTTTTAATGCTGTGTAGAATTTTAAGTATATTTCATTTATACAATACAACAGATCTCGGAAACATTTTCATCAACTTCCTTAATTATATTAATGTCCGGTTTGATTTTCACAAACATTATTAAAATATTTTAGTTACTTTACTGATTATTAATATACTTTATGATTAATATTATTGCATAATTAGTAAGTTTTAGTTCCACTCATCAAAATTCATTTTGCAATCTTGGAATTATTTCCTTATCATTAAATCACATTTCCCATTCTTCAGAATCAGAATTAAAACGCTCTTCGGGTGTTGAGGGAAATTCCATCAGAGATAAGTCCATTGCTTAGCAACCGTGGGTGAAACTCTCGTTTCAACTGAAAATTAGATACCGATCCTTTCCAAAACTATGCAATGAAAAGGAATTGGAGGGAAAAGTTTCCCTGAATAGAAGCTTCTATGGTTAAACTTTCCCCTAAAACAGCAGTGCTTTCCTGCGTAAGTGGAGTTACCTTAACTAATATTCACTGATGCATACAGGAAAAGAATTGTCCGAATTTCTAAAAAAAAAAATTCTTTACGAATAATTTTTTGTAAATTATTTAGCAATTATATGTTTAAAAAATTTAAATTTATTACCCTGAGCTATGTTAAAGGAAAACCTAAAACTTTTTCAACCTCTTATAACATTAACTTCAAAAATCATAAATTCATTTTTCTTCCCTTCAATATTAATATCAATTTCAAAACTACGCCATAGATTCATTATTGAGAATAAGAAAAATTATTAGTTCAGAATAGATGGTGTTTTCTACACTAGAGAGCGCTGCAAGCTTTTTACCGTCCTTATTTCCGGTTTACTTTATCCTATGTATTTTGAGCCCCTTTGGCTCAACGTGTTCATTGTGTAGAGTGCATCCTCTCATCTAAAAGATAATTTGGAAAATAAACTTAGTCTCGCTACTCTAACTAAATGACAACACTAACGTATGCACGGTGTACTACTTGGCAACAAGAACAAATAGTAATTAGTCAGAAGAAGCCAAAACAGGACTGCCAAAAAAAAATAGTTCTTTCCAAATTTAACAACCATGTTACTTCATTTAACAATATAACTATAAATAACTAAAGCAAATTTTCACTTCAAACTCAACAAAGTTGCTTAAGAACATGAGCATCATATAAAACTCGGTAAATTTAAGCTCAGAAATGATATAATTCATTTCTTTTATTGGAAACAAAATTATCTGTTTGAAAATATCCCTCACGCAATAATCTGTAATAAGCAGCTTTAAACTTTCTGACCGGAAGTCGTAAAAAGTTCGAAAATAAAAATAAAAATTTAACATTTGTATTGAAAACGCCATCCATGAAGGAGTAGATTAAGATAACATTTTGTAGCTTTTTTCAGTTAAAATTGGTAAGTTTTCATGGATTGGAAATGATTTTCACAGCAAAATCGCTTATCATTACAATGATTTTTAATTTTAGGTCAAACGGCAAGCTTCTTACACATTTCCAGGCCCACGAAGCGATAGGTCATATAGGCCGTCATTAAGTGCAGCTCCCGTTTATGTAGCAGAACATGAAGCAGCTGAAGTTTATCCAGCAACAAGAAGACAATCACAACCTCAATATGCAGCAGCGCAACCAAGAGCTCCAGTACAACAAGCAGTTGCAGCTCCTGCTCCACCACCACCTCCTGAATACGAACCAGCCCCTAGACAACAAGCAGCACCACGAGCACAATCATCATCAGCAGCGTCTAGAAGAAGAGGTTCCTCATCTGCAGCAAGCAACCGAGCAAACAAAGTAAAAATTTTACTAAATTAACTCCTTGTTTTCAATTAAACCTTCTTATAAATAAAAATACATTAAACAAAATTTGAAAAAAATAATTTAAAAAATTTATTAAAAAATTAAATAAATAAAAAGACTTTATAAACAACCACAAACTTTACCGAGATAAAATTAAGGCAGGATGCACAAAATTAAAGTGATGGTTTTCAAAAATTTATAACAGGAAGAAAAAAAACAATTCTAGAAAATATGTTCATTAACTTTTCTCCCATGAGTTTCTGGTTTTAGTTCAAAGTTTTTTCATACAGAATATTCTCCTTATTTTTCTCTTTTTTGTTTTAAAATAAAAATAAAATACTACTGTAACTTATATTTTTCCATTTCTGCTAAAAAAAAAAAAAAACGAAAATGTTATTGTCAGTCTGTAACAGCGGCTGAATATTAAGGAACAGAACAACAAAGAAATTATTTACATTTAAAATAAAACCAAAAAAAATAAAAAAAAAAATTTCCTTAATTGATTTCCAAGTCGAACCGAAATCCATCGAATTTCATTTAAAGAAAAATAAAACTTAGGAAGCTTTGAAACTGGAAGACTGGGCATTTACATCAATTTAATAATGAACATTGAAATACATTAAATTAATATATTATTGACAAGATTAATGGCAAAAGAGGGTTTAAAATGACTTATTTTATTGAATGAGCCTCTTGGTACGAAAATTAATTATTTATTTTGTCGTTTAAGAAAAATCATTATAAATAAACGTCTTGTTACAATTGTTTAATAGGTTCCACACCAATAAACTCAGAGATTGTCTTCTCTAGCATATCAATTAAAATAAAAAGATAATTTCCATTTCTTCTTTTTTTAAAAAAAAAAAAATACTGAAAGAAAGTAACTTTTTAAACCGAATCATTTCTTAAAACAACGATAAATTACGGGAAAAGTAAAAAGATTATAATAATATAATCAAAGATTACAAAAACAATTGTAAAAAAATCACTTGCTATTTTATTCTTGATCTCTTTAATTCTAGAATTCAACTAAGTGAACAAACTTCTGTTAGATTTCGCGTGACAACAATAATACAAAATTTCTTCATGTTAGTTCAAATAATCTTAAGCTTTCCTCCATTTTAACAACAGATTAATTAATGATAATAATAAAAAGTTTTCGCCATCATTGAAATTCTATAGAATTTTTTCGAACTTAACATTTCATTTGGTTGTGTAATAAACACCAAAAAACTTAATTTCAAAAATACGAATTGCTTGAAAAATTTGAAAGATACTATCCTGTCTTTATTTCCCATTTTCCATCTGACAACAGCCGTAACATAACATTTATAATTCGGTTCTTGCAACTAATCAGATGTTAACGCCGAATCACGTGGTTATGCATGACGCTTAAATTTTGGGTTTATTATAGCGCTGAATCAATTTTTGGAGGATTTAATTTGATGCCGGAAAGCGACGTCACGCGTGTTTGTCGAACCTGATTGGCTGACCCACGCATGACTTTGCTTTCAAGTATCCAATAAACAATTAGTCAAATTTTCCTTTTGTGATGTAGCTGAATTAACTGTTAACCAATCATAAAACCAAAGAGTAAAACGTCCTCATAAAGGCCTCTTTTTTGTTCTGAATATCAAGAAAAACCGGTTCTAAAGAGTGGAAATATGTTTTTACCTTTCGTATGCATACACAAAGCAGATCTTGTTACATAAAAGAACTAATTGAATCTCTTAACTTGCTTCAAATATAAACCGAAACAGTTAAAAAAAACTCCCTCCGCTCACGTTGTGTATTAATCCATAGATAATCTTAAAATTTTTGCGAAATCCAACAAAGGAAATATCTTAACTACTCAAAACAATAAATAGAAATTTAATAGCAAAAATTACTCCAACGCCTTCAACTATTCTAAAATTCTTGCCTGGTTTAAAAATGAAAGATAATCAAAACGTTGAATTGGTTTGATTGTTGGCGGAAGTGATGCTTTTTAAATATTTCAAGAGGCATATAGAACTTTCTCTGGCTGACGACAAAAATTTCAGTTGAGAGTTGAGCTTGCCTGATGCATAATATTCTGTCTAAGCGATATTTTATTCCACCAGATTCTATTAAAAGCTCATTTTATCAAACATTTGGCAGATATAGATTTGTCACAAACTGTTTCTGTACTCATGACATCCTTTGTTTTGCAGTATGGTTCAGCTCCTCAACAGTCATTAAATGGACATGCTGAGGATGATGAAGAGGAAGCAGGGCCAGATCCTTTGACTCTTCTCCTAGAAGACTCACAATTCACCTGTGGTGGAAAGCAAGACGGTTACTACGCTGATGACAGTGTCAACTGCCAGGTCTTCCATTACTGTGTTGGTGGAGCTAAACATTCTTGGATGTGTCCTGAAAACACCGTCTTCCATCAAGTTCATCTTAACTGTGTGCCAGATTCTCAAGATATTTGTGCCCAATCGCAAAAGTTCCACTTTGTGAATGAATATTTATACAAAGTAAGTATAAAAAAAGCAGCAAAAGAAAGTATAAAGAAAGATAAGCAAGATTAAAAATAATTCAATAGTTTAAAGATATTACTGTAATTTTGCTGCGAGTTAAATATATATTTTTTTATGTTATTAAGTCAAATACATAAAAATCAACCGTTAAAAAAATATTCAAATTAAATATGAAGAAAGAAAGAAAGACAGAAATATATATATATATATATNGAGAGAGAGAGAGAGAGAGAGAGAGAGAGAGAGAGAGAGAGAGAGAGAGAGAGAGAGAGAGAGAGAGAGAGAGAGAGAGAGAGAGAGAGAGAGAGAGAGAGAGAGAGAGAGAGAGAGAGAGAGAGAGAGAGAGAGAGAGAGAGAGAGAGAGAGAGAGAGAGAGAGAGAGAGAGAGAGAGAGAGAGAGAGAGAGAGAGAGAGAGAGAGAGAGAGAGAGAGAGAGAGAGAGAGAGAGAGAGAGAGAGAGAGAGAGAGAGAGAGAGAGAGAGAGAGAGAGAGAGAGAGAGAGAGAGAGAGAGAGAGAGAGAGAGAGAGAGAGAGAGAGAGAGAGAGAGAGAGAGAGAGAGAGAGAGAGAGAGAGAGAGAGAGAGAGAGAGACGATTGCAACGCTCGAATACGCCATCTGGAGAGAAGACCGGTTCCATACCTTTGGCCCTTCTCCCTTCCCCTTCCTCCCCATGTCAGTTGTATAGGAATGTACTAAGATATTTTTCCTTTGCTTAATATTTTGTGTTTTTAATTAATATAAATATTTTTTAAAATTTCCATGGCGCTTTCTCTTAGAACTACGTTTACTGTAGTTTTCAGTTCCATATAGTTTCCCATCTTAAAAGATTTTAATCTATGTGAAAACCAAGACAGAAACTAACGTACTTCCTTGTTTTATGACTCTCCACACGCTAATGAAGAAAGCATGCGAAGTGTTACCATAGATAGAGAGTTCTGCTCTACGCCACCTGTAGCCCATTTATAAGAGAAAAATAGAGAGAGAGCGTATTATAAGAGAAAAATTTAGAAAACATAAATTATTAGTACAAATATTGGTACTAAATTAAATTTCAAGAAACATAAACTAAACTTAAAAAATGTTTCTTTTTTAGCCTATTGACTACGAAGGACCAAACAACACTGCTCGTTACTCTCAAAGATATTACCCTGATGGATATGTAGTAGGTGATCCCTTAGTTGCTCCACAACCTCAAGAACCTAGACGACCTGCAGCCCAACCACCTCCTCCTCAATATCAACCAGCACCTGCCCCAAGACCTCAGCCAAGACCACAACCCAGACCATCTGCCCCTGCACCACCTCCACCATCATACAGAGCTCCTCAACCTGCACCTCAACCCAGACCACAACCACGACCATCTAGGCCATTAGAATCTTACCCAGTAGAGGAACCTCGTGAATATAGGCCTCAACCTCCACCACAATCTGCATCGCAAACTTATCGAGGTAGTCCCGCCCAACCTCAAGGTCCACCTCCTCAAGGTTACAGAGTAGCTTCTGCCCCTCAATCCCGACCTCAATCTGCTTACACCAGCAGCGAAGAAGCTCATTATCAACCTGAACCATCACCACAAAGCAGGAGACAAGCAGCATCACCACAACCACCACAGAGGGCAACTGCAGGTTATGCTCCAAGACAACAACAATACAGGCAACCACAGCCACAGCAAACTGCCAGATCTGGAAGTGGATATCAACCCTATGCCTCAAACCAAGCAGCTGGTGTTGAATACGATGAAGATTATTAAACATCCAAGTTTTAGAAATTTTTAAATTTTACTGCTGTGATTAGTCACATTTTGACACATGTCAAGCCATTGTCTTTGTGTACTTTATTGGATTTACATCAGGATTGTAAATCCAATGCTTGTTACTTATGATTAGCTTTAGGCTAGTCTTGTATAAATTATTCCATATTTTGCCAGAGGCAAAAGATATACGGGGTTTGTTTTAAAGGACTCTGTTTTTTTAAAAAACTCATCTGCTCAAGATAACTCATATTTAATGAAAATAATTTATGCATCATTGCAATAATTAGTCAATTTATTTCGGTAAAAAATTTTATTTAACTCGAACATTTTTTCCCTTTCTACATACATAATTTTACAGTAAAATCAGTAAAGAGAATCTGAATTCTTGATTGTATAAAATAAATTTTTAAAATTTCATTTATTTTGTTTAAAAAAAGAGGAAGCTTTACTAGAAGGAATTATGCATGGCAGAAGCTTATATCAATAGTACGCTTTCATACAAATCAGTCAGATAAGTCAACTCTTCATTCATAAAGCACATTTGTATAAAGTATGTTTAATTAATAAATGTTATGTATTTTATATTGTTTATTACGACTCTTCTTTTCTTTCCCAGTTTGTAAAGTTCCAACAATTTTAAATATGTTTCCAGTAAAATTTTAAACTATATACTACTTAAAATATACAACTTTCGGACTAAAATATAGTATACTGAATTAAGAAAAAGTTTATAAAAACTGAAACACATCGCATAGTTTAAAAATGCAAAAAAAATAATAACTATTGCCCCTTTATAAAATACTAAAACCAGAGCTGCCAACCATTATGGATTGTCTGTGAAATGTCGATTTTATTATAAGTAGGTAAAAGAATTTATAAATTTCCTTTTAAAAATTGAATTTTTAAATTCATTTAAAATGATTTTGATCACGAGTACAAACAAAGTAGTTATAAATATAAATTCAAGTTATTCAAACAATAGTGTGTTAATGCTGTGGAAAATTAATAAAACTACTATTTTTACTTACAATTGTACTTCAATTATCCTTTAACTTTTTTTTCACTAAAAATTAAAAGTTGTCAGGTTAGTAAAAATATCCCTTACCTTCTTACAATTATTTAAATAATTACACCCTTTTGTTAATACCCTTTTACAGTATGTTGCAATCAGTGCCGCATTTCAGAATAGAGTATACACAGGGTGTTCCGTAAAGAAAGTCCTCAATCTATATTTTGAGAATCCTTATACTAAATGAATTTAAAAAAGTATTAACTTTCGGTTTTCGCTTTAACTGTAGTAATCTAACAGTAGAATTAAATTGAAATTAAAGATAGATGCGATCGCAACGCTGGAATATGCCATCTGGGGAGAAGGCGGGTTCCTTGTCTTGAACCTTCCTCCGTCTCTCTCCCCAGTTATATATAGGAATGTACTACAATATTTTCCCCTTTCTTAATATTTTTCTTATTTAACTGTCAGAAATAATTTTTAAAATTTCCACGAAGCTTTCTTTTAGAACTATGTTCACTATAGTTTTCAGTTCCAAATAGTTTTCCAGCTTAAAAGTTTTTAATTTATTTAAAAATCAAGAGAAAAACTAACGTACTTCCTTCTCCTATGACTCTCCACACGCTTATGGTGAAAGTATGCCAAGTGTTGCCATAGGTAGGGAATTCTGCCAATAACTTAATTCAAAAAACAAAATTTGCTCTGTAATTCATTTTATAACATTTAAAATAAAATATTCATCAGGAATCTTTTGTGTTTTCATTGAGCGATCAAAATTCTTAACTTTTGAAGCTAATTGGAAAGAAAAAAAAAATTCAAATTTTTTTTCTCTCTCAGAATTCAACTTTTATTCCAAATTTGTAATGTTTCAACATGTGATTTTTTGATATAGTTCTTCTTTCTTTTTTTTAAGAATAATTTTAAAATAAGATTTTAATGTCCTATGTAAGTGTTGCTCACATCACTCATACCCATTGGTCAACAAAATTAGGCAATTCAAAAACCCTCTTCCTTCGTTAGGTGCATACATAATATTTGAACAGCCAGAGTAAGGTGAATAAACATCAAAAAAGGTTTAATTAGAGGTTGAAACTCGAGTGTTTCTAATAATCCTCATTTGATTCCTCTCTGTTTCCAACCCTATCTTGTTGTTTATTACATCTGCCATCCTGTACTGTGATTTGCCAGATTTTGATAACATTTTTCCTTTTTTCTCGCTTAAATATTAATTAACGACCCCAATGTGTATGCTTTTCTTTTTCTTTTTGATATTGTATGTTCTTTAAACTAATTTCAATAATTTTTTTTTTTTTTGCAAAAATATAAAAGGCACAAAAAATTTCTAAAATACAGAGGTACCAATTTTGTTTATTCGAATATGACTACAATAAACTCATTTCTTAGTCATTGTTATATGGATAAAAAGATTCAATAAAAATTAAGAGTAAAAAGAAATCATTTAATCTGTGAAAAGAATTTAATTTTGAATTATCTCATCTCTAATCAACAATAAAGTAACTTAACTATATATTAACTATAACTACATCCATAACTTAACTATAACTATTACTTTGCTGCACACTAGAGGTACATAACCTACGGTACTTGAATAGCCAAAGTGCAATCCTTTCACTCTTGCCAAACAAAAATGAAAAAAAAAATGCATCATGCATTAGAAAAGTTTATACATTTTCTTCAAACTAATTTTAATAATTAAAAAAAAACATATAAAGTACAGCAAAAAAAATCTGAAATAAAAAGGTACCAATTTTTTTCTATTAAAACTTTTTCAATATACATGTAGAAAAATTATTTATTCAAAAAAATTATGATATAAGTAGTTTATATACAGTGATTACCAGTTCAGTTAGTTCTTCAGTTTTATTTTGTTCCTTTTTTATAATTAAATATTTTCTTTAAAAAAATTTATAAGAATTCTCTACATTAAAGTTTTAGACAATTACAGTCAACCCTGCTTAATGAAATACCATTGGTTCCAGCTAACTCTATTCAATTAAGCGGGTTATCTGATTAAAAGGAGAGTGCATTATTCAATTTTGAATGCTACAATTTTACGAAATTTTACTCTCTAATGGTATCTAAGGCATAGTAAAATGTTTTGATTAAATAAACTCAACTTTATTATCAATAAAAAATTACAATTAAAGCTGTCAGTGTTAATATCATAAAATATAAAAATTAAAATTATAAAAATTAAAATTATATAAAAACAAATCAACGCTAATAAAAAAGTATAATATAGATACTATAATATTACTTCACTCCCTTCAAAAAAATCTGTAATAGAAGACTATTTTGATATCCGTTTAATCGTCAATTTATAAAAATTTGAATATGCTTCCAAGAATTTTTTTCAATTAACTCAAATCTATCCTTTTTATGCTCGTCTTGCAACCAACTCAGAGTTATTCACTTGGAGTAAACAATGATTCTTCTATTTTAAAGAAAGACACACTATGTGTGGGCAGGTTTTTGAAATAGATAATAGGGCATTAAGAGAGGACTACACGTTTTGGCTGAAAACAAATCACTTTGACCATCTTGCATTCTAAATTATGTCTGAATGAAGTGATTCAAAAAGGGGTAAATAAGAAACCCTTGTTAACTCCAATGTATAACTGCTGGAATGATTTGATTATTCTTAAACTATACTCCTAAAACTTGTTTAGAGCAACAAATCAACAGGAAGACCCTATTGAAGTGCTATTGTGTTCTTATCTTTTTAAAAGAAAAAAGAAAATTCCATTCTAGGTGGTGAAACATTTCTAAAAAATATTTTTTTTTTCACTTTAGTACCCCTATTTTATGCAATTAAGTGGACTAGGAACAACAAATAACCATTTAGACAGGAAAATTCAACAATAGTTTCATATAAAATAATTTGGTTCTATTAAATTTTATTTGAATGGGCAAGTTATTCTATTATCCAATATGGAATTAAGTTGGGCCACCTGTATATAAAAACAAACAAAAAAACAAAATCGTACACTCATATTTATATTTAAATAGCATCCTTTAAAACGAAATTAAATAAAAAAAGAAAGAAAGAAAATTATTCAAAAAATATGTATTTATTCAGTTTTTTTTTTTAATCAATACAAATAAATACCAAGAAAAAAATTTTAAATCTTAGATAAAAAAATTTATAATTTACATACAATTGTAAATAACATAAGTAGAATATTTTTAATGAGAATATGTTAAACAAAGAAAGAGAATAAAAATTACTTAAAACTTTAATATGAAATACAAAATATATACACATGTCTATACGGAGCTTTTACAAGTTGTTCGATTTTATAGCATATTTTCAGAGAATTAAAGATAATTATAAAAACGTAAACAGTTTTAGTAAATGCATAAAAGAGGTAAAATAATTATCAACATAGAGAACATACAGTAAATTTTTAAATTTTCGTAGAGATTTTTTTCTTTTTCTTTTTGCACATTATTTTATTTATTAAAAAAATAAATTAATAATAAATTTTTTTATTATTATATTTAATAAATTATAAATTTTTTTATTATTAAAAAAATTAAAACAAATTTGCATTACATATCTAAAATTTGTTGGAATACTATGAGAAAAACATTTTTTATTTGATTTAGATGAGCAAATAAACAACATTTTGTTTTTCTTTTCTTCTTTGCCAAGAAACACAAAAATTTGCTTAGTTGAATTTCCTTAAAAAAATAAACTGTGCAAACACAATGATTTAATAATGTATTTATTAATGAAGAAAAGATTTTAAAATTATGCTCTAGCTTTTAAATTAAATTTTTCTAATTTTAATTAATTACTTTAATTTTTAATATTAGTTTTTAATATGACTATAATGTGCAATGAACTTATTTAAGCTGCATAGTAAGGTGCAGATAATATAGAAAATTCTCTTTAAAATTTATAATAGGTTACATGAGGCACCAGGAAAAAAAAACTTTTTTTACTAACCTAATGTCCATAGTTACAGAAGCAAGAACCTATAATTACAGAATAAAGAATAAAAGATAAACCTAGGTTCAACATTTTTAAGTTGGAGAATATTTATCCTAGTAGGTTAAAGTTCAAAAAACCTCCCGTGTTTTCACCTTCAACCAGCTAATAATGTTTTTCACGCATGGTAGTAGGTTAAAGACCACAGCCAATATCTAGAATAGACGTTTTTCTAGACAATGACCCTTAGAGAAATATTAATGCAGTAAATACTAACTTCATTTGTGCTGTATTGGGGAATGATAATTTATGTATTACCCAATTATAAACCAATTTATCCTCATGCATAACATAACTTTGAACTTCAATAAACTAGAAATAGTTAAACCCATTTTTGGCCAGTTAAAAGGTGAAAGCATGAGAGATTCTTTCAGATTCAAAAGACTAGGATTAGTAAACCCTAACTTTAACTGATTTAGCTTTTGTTTACCTTTTATTCTTGCTTTATCTGTAACCTATATATATGCATATAAAAACATTGTTATTTTATTTAATTTTTGCAGTATAAGTATTAGAAAAAATAGTTAAGTATTTCAAAAAATTTTATGAAATGTTTTAGTGAATTTTTATTAAAAAGTTTCATATAATTGAAATATTTTGGTTATAGAATTAATTTTATTCAACAAAATACTAAAAACTGCTGTTGTAATAAATTATAATTGCATAATAAATAAAAAAAAGCATAAAATTTTACTAACTTCTGCATGGTCTCAATTCAAACTAAATATGTGAATAAAAAGAGAGAGAGAGACTTTACTTAATTCCAATATGAAATATTTAATCATTTACCATTCTTTTTTTTTATCTCACACTCAAAACACATTTTAAATACTCATTCACATAATAATCATTTTTAAAAAAAAGCAATATAAAGTAAGACTTGCAACAAAAAAAAATTTTTTAATTACAGCATAATATAACTAAAAGTTTTATTGAATTTTAGAAATGCATCATATAATAATATGAATGCCAGTATGGACAAAGAAAAAAAGCAAACACCAAAATAGCAATTGAGGAAATGATTAAATTAGTAGGATTATCTTAATGGTTTGAGAGCCTAACCTTAAATATGCCTACTAATTACAGCAGCTATATTTTAAATTACAAAATCAGACACAAAAACCTTCTTTCTCTGAAGAAGCGTGCATTTTTTTGAACAGATTTGGATTCTTGACCCTCAAAATAGGGGATGCAACTGTAATATGAAAAAATAAAAAAATATAGCAAAAATTGAAATTGCAAAGAATATATATACACACACACAAATGTTTACACCAATTTAATTTACAAAATTTTAAGTGACGAATGCCAAAATTTGAAAAAAAATCTAATGAACACAGAACAATCAACAATCAAAAGAAATAAAAGTATAACTTTTTTGAGTTGGTAAAATACATTAATGGGCTCAAACCTCTATTGATCTCCTACCTAAACTATTTTCACCATATTTCCCAGATTGTGGCTACCTCCTATATTTTAAGAGTCAGAAATTTAAATTCATCAGAAAAAGATATGTTTATTCAGAGAAAGTATGTTACTGTGTGTGATTTCATAACTTAAGTTATGAAATCACATAACTTAAGTTAAAGTTATGCCCTAAAACTGTTGAAATTGAGTCCGTACATAAAAATCCAATAATTAGAAGTTAGTTGTATGTTCACTTTTTTGTCCAATGTTGAAGAAATTCCTCGATTACCATCAAACTAATATAAAAAATTAAAAATACTCATTTAGAAATTAAAAAGTTAAAAGGAAAGATGATGATACATATTGAGTTAAAAGGAAATATGATATGTATTTTTTGTGAAGAATAACTATAGATACCATTTTTAAAAAAAATAATGATTATCTTGAAATAACTTTCTAGACAAAACAGAACAATACTAACCACTTTCCACCACTATTAATTATATTTGTTAAATAAAATATTTATCACAATTTTTCTTCTTGGAATGCAAAATATTTCAACCTTCCACTTTTTTGTACTTTTTATTTTCATCCTGTGAAAAACAAAAAAAAAATTTTTTTTAATAAGATTTTACGATTTTAAAATATGCCTCATAATAATAAACAGAAAGAGAATTAATTATACAGTGAATTCGCGATAACTCGAATCTGATAGGACCGACGAAAAACTTCGACATACCGGAAGTTCGACTTACCGTTAGTTTCGGTTATGGACTTTCAAAATATTGTCGGATTATTTAATTAATGCTTATTTATTAATTACAAATCTTCTAAATGCTTGCAATATTTAAGATCATTTTTCTGACAAGCCATTTACGATAAGACTGTTTGAAGCACTTTATGATACCCTGGTCCATCGGCTGCAACTTTGCTGTTGTGTTTGGCGGGAGAAACTGCAAGTTTACTGCTTTCAAATTAGGTAGATCACTATGCGCTGTGCATTTATCCATAAAGAGTATCACTTTTCTTTCTTTAGCAAAGAATTTCCGATCCAATTTTCTTACATAGTCTCCAAATAAAACTGATGTCATCCAAAACTTTTTGTTAGACTAGTAATCCAAAGGATACGTTTTTACATTCTTGAAACATCGGAGATTTCGGTAATTTCCGATAACAACTAAGGGCAATTTCTCTGTCCCAGACCCATTTCCACCAACTAGGACAGTCAAACGTTCCTTGCTCATTTTACCCCCTGAGCAGTTTTCATCCTTAAACATCCTAGTCTGATTTGGAAGACATTTAAAAAATAAACCCATTTCATCAATATTGAAAACATTATTTTTAATTGTATCCTTTAAGTAAATTTGGTAACGTTTCATTTAACCATTGTTCACATACTTCAAGAGGGACAGCTTTAGCTTCTCCATGAAGAGTGCGAAAGACATTGTGTGTGTGTTGCAAAGGAAGGGGCAAGATATCAGCTCCTAGGTTTTTTTTCTTGCTTTAAAAGATCCAAAAAAAATCGAGTTAAAGGGAGTAAAATTCGAGTAATCGAGAATAATTAACATGAAATTGAAGATAAAAGGGTCGGGACCTCATAAAAAAATCGAGTTATAGTAATATTCGAGTAATCGTACTTCGAGTTATAGCGAATTGACTGTATATGATAACAAAAATGTAGTACAAGGATAGCAATACAATCAATAAAAATACAATAAAAAGTTTTAACCAAGGCTCTGATAGCATCATTTTTTAAGTAAGTGTTAAATTATTTTACTTTGATTATTTTGGTAAAATATTATGGTGATATGTAATGACCACCTTTTATGCATATTTTAAGAGCCCAGCCAAAAAAATTTTTAAATAGTTAAGACATATGAAGTCATAAATTAATGTTAAAGTAAGAAAGAAACAATCAAGCAATCAAAATCCAATAAATCATATAAGACAAGACTGAAAGGAAAACTAATTTAAATGCCCAACGAAACTTGGATCGAATAATTTTATTTTTAATAATTTTCTTCTCTGTCCTCAATGCTTCCTTCAACTACAAATCAGGCTTTGATCGATTCAGTTTACCTTGTTATATTTTGAAAGGTTTTTTATTTTTAATTTGCAACCCCTAATCTGTGTGCAATAAACGTTTCTCTTGTAAATCATTTTTCAGCTTCCGATCAACTTAAACATAAAATTTCTAAGTTTAAAAGTTTTCAATCAAAAATTGAGGAATGAGCAATTTTGACTTGAGGAAGATGACCAAGCTCTAATATTTAATCAAATGTAATTAGGATCCATTTGATCATCTTTGTCAACATTGACTTTACTTTTAGTGATGATTTAATTTTAGATAAGAAATCTCGTGCTATTAGCCGAAATAAAAAAAATTATTTTATGGAGTAATATTAAAGGGTGGCTTCTCTTGGACAAATTAAAACTATTTAATTTACAAATTTTGAATAACTGATGGAAGTGCCATGTTAGGTGACAATCTCATAAAACCTTAAAAACATTGTTATAAAATATGTCGCAGCAGATGAAGTGATTTTAAAAGTGTTGTCAACAGTGAATGGTTAGTTTTCTTCTTCTTCTTCAGGAGCGCAACAGCCCTTTGCAGGCCTTGGCTGCCTCAACAGCACGCCTTCTCCAGCTCCCTCTGTCCATGGCAACTCCCCTCCAGTTCTTAGGTTTTAGGACTTTGAGGTCGTTTTCGGTGTCGTTGAGCCATCGAGTAGATGGTCTACCTCTAGAGCGGGACCCCTGAGGGTTCTTGAAGGTAGCAATTTTGAATGATTAGTTTTAACTACATTAAATACAGAAGAGCAAACATAAAAGCATTTAGTTATCAAACCGAAAATTTTAAAAAATCCTTCTTTTGCAAAAACGATGTCTTTTAAATGCCTACCATTCTTCATTACAAATTCAACAAGTCTTCTGCTAATATCGGCCATTACCTGTTGCAACAACACCCCAAGTTGCCACTTTTAAGAAATGCTTATGTTAGCATAAGTAAAGTTGCATTTCTGCCCACTGTTACATTATAACCAGAAATGCTTTAAAGTTTATACAAGAAAGCGATAGCATCATTTTCCTCAGTTCAGCAAAACCTAAACAAGCATTGTTCTCAAATTCCCTGCTGCTCTTAGCATTGTTAAAATCTCCAATGAAATGAGATCATTATAATTAAATATACTTGTATATATTAGACAGAAGATGCAGAAACAAAGAATGTTTCTTTTAAATGGCTAAAATTTAATGCGTTTAAGCAACTCATCAAAGATTTTGATTAGAAAAAGTATATAATAAGCATGTTTATTTAAACAACAAATTGTTGCAATTCAAAACTAAATTGGAACAAAAAATTTTTCACTTAGGGCTAGTTTTAACTTGCCTGGTGAAAATGGATTCTTTTATATTGTGACTTACTCACAAAATAAACTGTTACAGTTTCAAATCTAGTTTGACGAAACTTGGTTTTGGGGTGTACTTTTCGTTTCTAAAAACTAATATTTTTTAGATTAAAACTGCCACTGACATACTAGAAAAAAAAATTAAATAAATAATTTTTCCTTTTAAATTCTTATAGCTTAAAAATATTAAGAAGTTTTTAATAAAAAATTATAATTCCAAACTTTTCCTATTTCTATGTTGTTGTTTCTTATTCCCTTTTATCTGGTGAATTAGAAAATATGGAAATGCATATAAAACAATTCAAACTTAACTAGAAATTGCTTTAAAGNCAAAGTATTTAACTTGAATTTATATTAATAACTAGAATATTTATTTATTTGAAATGTAATTCTATGAAAAAAAAATTTAACGTTAAAATTTATGTTTAAACGGATTTTTGTATTTTGTAATGTGATAAAAAAAATTTCAATTTTTCCATAGTTTTTTAATTATTTCAATTTATCTAAATTTTTTCTGATAAATTGATTCTGATTTTCGAACTCTGTTTTCCTTCTTAAGTAATCAGTTTTGCATTTTCTAATTTTAAACGTTTTAAAGTATTGTATTTTTTGCAAAGAGATTACAAGGTTAACCGACAAAAAGAATTTAGTGTTATATAAACAATGATGTTTAGATAACAATCACCACCAACAATTGCTTTCAATATGTCGGTCTAAACACTTTGGCATGCGGCCCTTCATTGGTCAATCTGCTGTGCATGTGGCCCTTCACTGAAAAAGGTTGTGCACTCCTACTTTAAAGCAATATATAATCTTAATATTATTTCTAAATTTACATTATGTGCGCAAAGAGAACGTAATTTTTTTCCCTCAACAACTGATTAATTAATATTATTTACTGATTTTTTATCATATACACATTTTATCAAATGCATTTCATCAATCAATCAATATATCAATCAATACATAACATGTAATTGTTTCATTTTTTCATATGTTTTATAAAGATATATTTATCTAAATGTTTAAAGATATTAACATTAACACCAGATTTGAAGAAAATATTAAATACTCAGAGATGCAGACTAACAACTATATATATATTTTATATAGACTATATATAAACTATATATAGAACTAATTATTGTAAAAATAGAACTAAAAAGTATTACTTAAATCCATACTTAAATTACACATTCCTCTCATTGTGAATATTCAGTTTTTCTTACAATTAGTAAATTTTAATTCATTCAAAAATCACAAATTTAAAAAATCACAATTTACACAAATTTAAAAAATATCATATTACTGATTTTTTTCAACTATTCAATTCCCTTTATAACAAAACATGACACTCATATGATATTCAAAGAGTACATAATGATAATAACACATTAATACACATTAAAAAAGTATTTAGTTACTGAAAGTTCCTTTATATGCAATATAATGTATTTACAAAATATCAAATGATTAACTTACTTTGTGCAATATATATGACAAAAATATGTCATACATAAAGGATAGTCCGCATACATATAAAAATCTGTACTTTGGGTGAAGATACAAGAAGTTAATTGCTTGAAGAGGTGCATAAACTGCCCAGTCAGCCTAAAATCAAAATAAGTTCCAGTAAGAACGAAAAATAAAATAAAATTATAATTTAAAAAAAAACAATAATAAATAAAACACATAGAATAGTTTTAATGTCTCTTTAACCATTCAACACTCTGTTGACACTACATCATGATGAATTTAAAAACGCCGAAGACAGGGTCTGAGAAACTAAAATATTATCAGACACTCAATTTTTAATACGGGAAATCGAATCGTAACCTATCCGCAGTAAGCAAAGAATCTACCCCACACACACATTTATTAGGCAGAAAGATATAAAGAAAGTAAGAAAAGCAAATATGACTCACAAAAAGAAATGTCTAATTCAAGAATCATATTGAAATTTTGTAATTGTTTTATTTTTAAAATCAAACATTTGAAATAAAAAGCATAAATATGTTACGTGTTCACAGATTTTTCTTTTCCTAAACTACTAGGCATATAATGTAGGTAATAAAGTATCGTCCAATTTCAATAGCTTCTTTTCAGGCAAAATAGATTGTATTTTTCAAAAGTATTACAATGACTTTTTGGGCAACACAAAAAATTGTTTAAACTCTAAAAACCAATGAGAGACAATTCAATAATTGGTCATCTGTTTTCAAACAAAAACAAGATTATTTCCAGTTTTATCTGCCATTTTGAAAATTTTGGTTTGGTTTAGCTAGTTAACAAATATTTATTTATTTATTTCAAATGGCAGAGGTGAATTGACACGTTAAAAGGTAAAAACACAGGAACAAAACAAGAAAGTAAAAAGTCATTTCCTCAGGAGCGCTCTTGCTTTCCAATATCGCTCGGTAGACGACGTCCCGCAGAGGGCCCTGCAGCGCAGAATGTGGCCGCCATCCAAAACAGCTTCGCTCATGCACAGAGAACAATAGGGATCGGGTGCCAGCCCTAAACGAAACAGGTGTGTGGCTAGGCAGTCATGTCCGGTATATAGTCGAAACTGAGCCACCGTTTCGCGACGCGGTCAGTTAACAAATATATGAGTGATAATTTTATCTGTTACCTTTCATTCTTATCCAGTTAATTAATTTTTGTTGTCATGTAAGTAAGATAACATTTGGAAAAAAAATAGAAAGTTGATTTCTTTTATCCTTATAACAGATTTTATCATTTATTCAATATGAATAATATTGCAAATGTTGAAGCCAAGAAAGAGACATGCGATAACTGAAACAAAAATATGAAAAAAATTCTTTAAATTAAAGTTAAGAATAATTAAAATAATACATTTCTTCTTCTTAAAAATAAAAAAAAAGTTAGCTTAAAATACAACACAAATCAATTAAAGGGATAAAAATGAAGAGTCGAAGGTGACAACTAAAATAACTATTTCTAGCATAATAATAATAATAACAAATCCAAAACATCTTTAAATACTAAAATACAAATTATTATCAGATTGAGATAGTCAACTATAATAAGATATGCTTACAGCTAATATAAGTAAAATGTTTTTCTTGAATTCTGCCATACTAGTTTTTACAGGTTTTCCATCAAAAAATCCTACTAAGAGAAAAAAAGCAAGAAATACTGGTGGTCCTATAACCATTTCTGAAAGCAACTTTTTTGCAACTTGTTTATAAGCTGTTCCAGGAAATCTTCTGTCCAGGAATGAATACCAGTGATGACCAGCAACACCAATAATACTGCCAGATAACAATAAATTGGCTGAAACAAAAACAAAATATTAAAAAAAAGTTTTTTGTTGTCCGATTATTTAAAGTACCAAAAATCCAATCCACATTTATCCAAATTACTGATCCCTGAATCCCAATCCCTGACTTGATGGTACTATCTATCAAGTTAGGGCTAGACTAGGACCAAAAAATGAGTCAGGAGTTTTAAACACATTGGCCTACTAATTTAGCTTAAAGCAGGACTTGAAATTAGGTTGGTTTGAGACCACAAAAAATTGACTCAGACCGACATACAATAATTATCAGTAATTCCCTGAATCAGCAATTAATGCAAAGAGATTATATGCTGTTTTGTTATTTGATTTCAGGTTTCACATTTTAGTCTGTGTTTTTGCAACAAAACAGCACATTTCATCAGACTTATGACATATTCGCTGTATTGTAATTTCTAATTTAAATTCACTTCATAAACTTTTTTTTAAAAGTTAAATTATGTGAATATTTATTTTGACTTCTTTTTTAAAATACATTATTTCCTTTTGCTTGATATAATTAGCTAACAGCATTGTAACCAACTCATAATTTAACAATTTTTATATCTCGTTAATTTATTGTTATTAGATAGAGATATTGCGCAATTTTATTAAGAATAAATTTACATCAGTTAGCAAAGTTTTGAGATGGTCACCCTCCCAAATACTGACTGCTCCCAATGATGCTTGAGTTCAGCTTTTTGTCATTATTTCAAAATATTTTTATACAATCATCTTCTAGTAAAATGCCTCCTAGGTCAAAAAAAGGCATTGTTTTTTATAATAGTAAAAATGATGTTTTAATGCCAATAAAAATGTGTACCAATAAAAAGAAATGCCAATAAAAGGTGTTCAAACTAGTAATGTGTTTCAGTTACTGGTCCTGTGTTAAATTTTCTGAATTTCCACCCCTGCTTAAGGATAAAAAATAATAATTAACTCATAAAAAATAAAAAGATAGCTAAAAAAAATATAATCTAACTACAAAATTAAATTTTACAATTTTATTTCAGTTAAAAAAAATTTTCAAGGTAAATGAAGCTGTTTTTTAGGATATACAAAGAAAAGGAATACCTAAAACAAATTATCCACACTTTCTATGAATAAACTTTCTCCATTAATTTAATTTTTAATAAAATTTTTGTTCCCTCCAACACCTAAGAAAAATCCAATGATCAGAGTTTTCTTCCAACATCTCAAACTACAAATAATTTGGGGAGATTTCCATATCGTGATCTGTGGCAGAATAATCGCCAAGTCCTGGAAACTTGCGGGCAGTGGCCCGTGATAAACTTTAAAAAAACATCACAAAAAGGGACCAACTCGAAAGGTATAACTCGTAGCCACCCCCGGGCAAACATCTACATGTTGTTTTTTAAATTTGCAAGTTAAAAATCCATTTGGCACCTTGGCGATTGTAGTTGGCGCTACAGAAATATCCCCAATAATTTGGTTAAAGAAATTGTCCACAGTAAAGTTTTTTTTTGCGTAGAGCAGAACATGTCAAATTGTGGTTTGAATCCATAAAGTTCGTTTATAAACACATAGATCAGCACAAGGTAGAGTAGACACTGATATGGTGTAGGTTTGTAAGACAAATTGTTATTTCTCTCTCACAAATAATTAAATTATTGTTAATTGACGTAAAAACTAAATTCTTTGCAGCACTAAAAAAGCTAAATAATTTGTTCTCCTGGCCCTGTTGTAAAAAAAATGATATATTGCATAACAATAGATGCATTGTTTACAGAAAATCCTACATATATACTGTACATGAAATGCTTCAAAATTTCTTCAAATTTTTTACATATTAGTAATTTTTAATAAATAAAAAAAAATGGAAGAGTTTTATATTGGACACTAAACAAAAATACTCATCATGCTGCAGTGACAAATGGGCAATAGCACAGAAAAACTAATAAAAGACAGAAAGAACAAATAAAACACAAGAGGTAGAATTTATAATCATCCTCACATAAGCTACTATGTACTTTTCTTCCAGTTACTTCCAATTAGATAGCCGGATGATTTAATTTAGTGCCTTGGTTTCTTTTCAGTTAACATAAACAGTCACCTCCGGGCAAGCTGCTTTCATAAGTAAATAATAAAAAATTGGACGGTATCCTCTTTTGCGCATAAGCTAATGTGAGGATATTACAACATTAGTGCCAATGGAAATTGGTATTTACAGAGATTTAAAAAATAATGATAATATTTTGAAGTTTGCTCACAGTAGTTACAAGTAATACCCTTCAAATTCCTCTCATTTTGTGTGTGCGTGTTTTTTTCTGTTTTTTTTTCCTTCATTATTTTGCTTTTGCGTGCTACTGTCAGTTGCTGCCAGAATTTTGTGACTTTTTTGTTGAAAGTACCAATACGGAAATCTTCAAATCTCTTTTTTACATGTAGCATGATTATCATCCAAAACAAAATGCCCCTCATCTTGCTATGAATTCATTTCCTAGACCCGTAAACGTATGACTGGCCTATAAAATATCTACAGTTCGATTCCTTTAATATAATAATAAAAATTAGAAATTGGTGCAGGCATCAGTTTCTTAAAAAAATAGTAAAAAGAAAAGAACTTAAATGACGCAACAGATAAATTTCTTTCGTCATTCAAAATTTTTTTAAACGCTTTTAAAAAAAATATTTTTTAAACAATTAGAAACTAAAAAAAATCTAATTTTTTTTAGTTTTTAAAATAATAAAAAATTGCAAACTACATATTTTTAAATAACTTTCATAATCACATTTAAAAATTTGTCAAATGTTTCGTTTAACTACATGAGGTGTTAACTAATAGTCACCTGTTCTTTTCGCTTCATAAGGTTTTCCCTCATATAATTTCATTTCAATATTCTGCTGTACAACATCTGCCACACCAAAAAAGAAAACGCCTAGAGTTGTATTCGTTATAAAGAGATGTTTAGTAAACAATTTATTTGTCAGATTTTTTAAGCGAGAGACGAAGCTCATGATTAGACAGTTATATTTCTATATTACACTTTTTGTTTTATCTTTATTTACAAACAATTTACACCGGCGTGAACATCGGGCGGAAGTTGTCGATGAGAGCGCTTCTGGCTGCGTATTTCTCTGTATTTCAAGGTTTATCGAGATCAAACACATCAGAAAAAAGGAAATCCAAAAATGAGATCGGTTTGCAAAGTAGCCGTTCTCACTGCATATGGCTTACGTATTCGCAACCGCCATGCTCGAATACGACATCTGAGGAGAAGACTGATTCCATGTTTCTGATCCTCCTCCCTTTTTTCTTCTTAATTGTATAAGAATGTAATACGTTATTTTCCCCTTTCTTAATATTTTTCTTACTTACTTGTCAAAACAAATTTTTTAAATTTCCATGAAGTTTTCTTTTAGATTTATGTTTAATGTGGTTTTCAGTTCCTTATAGTTTCCTAACTTACAAGTTTTTAATCTATTTGAAATTCAAGACAGATGACTTTCCACACTGTGATGGTGAAAGCATGCGAAGTGTTGCCAAAGTAGACAGTTCTGCTTTACGCTAACTGTAGCTCATTTCGATTGCCAATGGACATTACAGTAAAAAAAAAAAATTAGTGCGTGGAGTCCCTCCGAATAAGAAATACTATCCTATTAAATTATATTCGTATCAAATCAAACTAAAAAAATATATATTTATGGGAAAACAATACTTTCATGACTTTTATTATTTTTATGCGAGTGAGAACCAAAACAACATGGAAATGAATGAGGGAAAACTGGATCCTACCACGTGATTTCCCGGCCAATAAAAATGTAGCATTAAACGTTTAACAAAGAAGAATTTCATTGCTTGCCTAAATGCGCTGTAGTTGTTGTAGTTCATGTACGTCGCTCTATAAAGCTGCACAATGGGCATTTGGCGACGGTCTGGGAAACATCCCTGAGGATGATCTGAAGACATGCCATCACAATCTTGATCCTCTGCAGAGGGGATGGCATCCCCACTTCGGTAGCCCGATGACCTGCACGTGAAATCGAGCAATTTACGGTAGAACAGTTTAACGAGGACCAATACCGCGCACCCTCGGTCGCTACGCAAACTGATCCAAATGGTCACCCACCCGCATACTGACAGCAGCCAGTTATGCTTGACTTCAGTGATCTGCTGGGAGCCGTGTCTTAACGACCTGTCCACTGCGGGACTGCCTAAATGTGCTATTTATTTAGTTGCTTTTAAGAAGAAAAAAAACGCTTGCTTTCGTCTTCACCTAAAATGGGGAGTCACGTCATTATTAACTGACGCCACGCGTGTAAATCTACTGTTTATTTATAATCATTGTGCTCTCGTAATTAAATCCAATGAAATGTTTTAATACAACGTATTTTAATAATATTACATTTCAATGGTACCGACTGAAACAATAGTTAATAGTTGACGAAATTTCCTAGTTCTGAATAGCAAAGTTTTTTAGTTCAGTAAAAAAGGTGTTAGAATGAGTTATGCATGCCTATAGTCCATTCCACCTTAAGTTGTCACTGGAGAGAAAGGTAGGTAGACCAGATTACATGGAAACTGGGTTACTCTTTAAGTCAGTAAGGGGATAAGGTAGCAACAAAGGGAGAGAAAGTGGCTAGTATTGGCGTTTAAGAAAGCAAAACGCCGATTTTTTTTTTAAAACCAAGAATCGTACTAAAATTTTGTACAGAATACGGAAAAGAGCACGATTTTTTAGAGCATTTCTCATAATTATTATTTTAAGATACTAGTTGTAAGCTGATTTCTTAATTAGTATTTAAAAAGCAGATTTTCTTATTATGATTTTTTAACTAAACGAAACTAATTTTAAACAGAAAAAAATATATATATTTAAAAATATTCTTTTTTGCTGAAATCTAAGTAAA